GCAGGCTGCATCCCATCGCGCCCAACTCTTTGTCAAGACTCCGAGCTCCACCACTTGTTGCACCAAGTTCTCCGAGGCGTCTTCCTGCGGACATAGGAACGGCCGAAGCTCACGTTCGGCCATGTGGGCATGGGTCAAAGCCCCGTACCCCCAATCCCCACTAAAATAGACTAAAACGGGAGGTGCACCTACCCCAAAATGGGATCCCATTGGTTTTGACCCACAGCCATGTGGAAACCTTGGGCCAAGCCGACCCCGTCACAGGCGCCCAGAAGTCCGTTGAAAGGGCGCCTCTTTCCTTGTCTTCTCTCGCGCCTCCGTGCCTTGCCCCTTTCAAGGCTCCATCCTTGAGTCTAACATGCTCCAACCCCTACCACCATCCTGGGTTTTATCCAATATGCTCGGCGCACCATGCGAGAGGGACTTGTGGCGTGTTCAACTATGCAGGTGCTGGGGGGGGAATGGGAGGGTTGGAGGGTAGCATCAGGGCACATACCCTCCGTACAAATACAGTATTGAGTTTTGTTCAGGGGCCCCCTTTTGAGCTTCAATGGAACATCAAAGGAACACCATCAGCTGGGGGTCGGAAGCCCAATTTGCGTCTGTCTGTTTTAAAAGGACCCCCCAAAACGGTGGCTTTCCTTTGCTCCCTTTAAACTCACAATCAATTAATTGGGGAACACTCCCCAAAAAAGAAACGGCAAAAGGGCACTACTTGGGGGACCTAGCCTTTAAAATTAAAACCCACCCGTTTTGACACCGATCCATCCCTTCCTTCAGCTGCTTCCCTGCGACATCCAGCAGCTGGCCCGTGACCATTTCCGCCGCCCCGGCCGCCAGCGCGTCCGCCGCCCCCGCCGCATGGCACTTGGCCAGCGCCAGCAGCTGCACGCGGCCGCTCTTCGGCAAAGAGCGCGCCTGCAGCTTCTGGCGCCAAAGGCGCCAAATGGGCTTTTGGAGGCGCTGTTGGTGTCGTTGTTGTTGGTTCCCCCTTTCGGTTGAGTGGGGATTTGGAGCCGCAGTCGCTGTACCCTTTTGTTTTTGTCATTTCTTTGTGCAGAGATGAACCGGTCCAATTCCTGGTGGTTTCATTTTGACCCACACCCAAACGGGTGTGATGTTTTTTTCTTGTTGGAGGGACGTGGAGCCTCAAAGCCTCACTTGTCCAACACCGACGATTGAACCTTGTGGGACTCTCTTTTTTGTTCACGTTTGGTCATGGCCCCAAAAGGCGGTTTCACCTTTTATTCCCAGGTCCCTAAAAGCAGCTGAGCTGTTGTGTTCCTTTTCTCCTCTGGACCTCAAAAAAGGGCCCGCGAAAGCAACTCAGCCATTTATAACACCGGCTTGTTGCCCTGGGCGCATGGCTGTGAGTCAAAAATAGTTGGTAACCCCAAAATGGGTTGCCCGATCGGTAAGTGAAAAAACGCGGACAAAACCTGCAGTCCAGTTCCTGGTGATATTAATTTTGACCCGCACCCGAATGGGTGTGTTTTCTTGTTGGTACCCCCTCTTCATTAGCTTTAATGGAAACCAAAAAGAACCCAGCCATTTTGGGGAATTCCCATAAAATGTACACACCCAAATAGGGATCCTTCGAAAAGTCTTAAAACATGCCCCCATCCCTTCAGGGAGTTTTCCTTCAACAAGGCTTGATCCAAAGAGCGTGTGGGAGAGGCGCTATTTGGCACGTCTAGCATGCTGCCTCGCAAAGGCCATGGCACTGGCTTCTTTTTGTGGTGACACCAGCACCGAGTGCCGGCCGTTTTGGGTCGCTCACACATGAATGGCCGTTTTTGGAGCCAGTTCAATGCAACAAATCCGTTGATAGTCTTCATTGGCTTCTGCGGCGCAAGTTGCCAGGTTTTGATTAATGGTACGCCACGCTCCCATTGCTTCTTCTACACTACATGAATGTCTTGCCAAAGTGGACACCTCTGCAAAGTGTAGTGTTTCCTGCGGCCGGGGTTCTGGGGCGACACAATGTAACAACACGTTTGGTCTATGTCAAAGCATTGAGGCTGCTAAACAGGAAAAGCTTAGCAACACAAAGCAAAGACGCAATTTTAGGCATAGGCAGTTGATAGTTGCATGCACTTAGATCGTGAGGTGGGTGTGTGTGTGTGTGCGTGTGTTTTTTTTTGCGCCTTTCTTCAGGGATAAGGTTGAGGTGCTTTTGTAATTATTGGCCGTTGCTAGCCCCGGCTGTAGGCCTCATGTTCCTAGATCGGGTTGGTTGGTTGGCCGCATCTCCACTGGCCTCGCTCGGACCTCGCGCTGCCAATAGGCTTTGCTTGGGTGGCAGCTGAGAGTTGCGGCCTGATGGTTAGGTAGGCTTGCTAAGATCTCAATGAGGGCGGATCCTGGGTGTGTTTTGGGTTCCTTCAGGCTTGGTGTCGCGGCCACCCAACCAACCAACCAACCAGCCACCCGACCAGGGTTAAACCCCGCCCGGGGCAAGTGAACAAAAAGCTTCACCGAGCTGAATTAGGGGGATCACCAGCCCGCACGACCCGGGGATCACAGAACCGAGCTGCAAAGCTGATGACTTTCCCCAGATTCTCCTGGGCAAGCGATCGGCAGGTGGCTCCCTGAAAACTCCGCCTTGGTTGCCTGGGTGGATTGAAACTTTGATACTGAAGATCAACAAGGATCAATAGACAACTTCCACTTCGAGTTTTTTCCGCACATCAACTCTTTGCCCGTTGGTCAAAGCAATTCAAAGGCTCATTCCCTTGCGATTGGGCAAGCAAGGAAGTTGCAAACTCCTCCAGTCAAGCCGAGACTTGAATTGGCAGGGTACTTTTAAGTAGTTAGTAGCCTGGCCCGAACGAATCTGACTCAAACCCCATCGCTTTGCAACAAAAGGTGAACCTTTTGGGGCCATGACTAAAAACGGACCAAAAAGCGGAAACCAAAGGGTGACAAGGTCGATTCGCTTTGGGCAAGTGAGAGAAACACTTTGTGAGAGACTGCAACCAACCCTCTCAAAAACGCGATGAAACTGACAAACGCTTGCGAGGCACTTAGTAAGTGGAGTGTAAGCCTGGTGAGATAACCCACTGGAAAGAGACTGAAAAACCCATGGCTTGTGTGGGTTCCAGGGTAAGTCAGTGGTTCGGGAGCCTGGCCAGAACCCACTGAGCTCACTTTTTGCACTGCCTGATGGGAAAGGGGAAGCCCAGTGGCTGAGTCAGACAAACGGGGCCCAGCGTTCCAAGGGGACTTACGAGAGGTGGGTGCTTTCATCAGGCTCCCCACTTCCCTGACGGTACCCCATCCATCGCCTCGAGGCGATCGATTCGGAAAACCCCGCCTCAGAGGACTCCAGCTTGGCCAGCTCCGAGACCTTCTCTGGAAAGCTGCTCCAAACGTCCATGGCCTTTCCCAGAAACCTGGGCTGCCCGTTTTCTGATCCCCTGCTAAAAGTGAATCACTTCTAGTGGGCTAAATTGAAATTCCCACTAAACACTAAAAAGCTAAAAAGCTAAAAAGCTAAAAGGCTAAGGGGATGGCTGGGAGCCACCAAGAAACCTCGGCTCTTGACGAGTTCCTTTCGCTTGACAAATGGCTGTGGTCGTCAACAATAGTTGGTAACCCCAAAATGGCTTGCCCGATCGGAAAATGGAAACCTGGACCAACACCACCTGTCAGCCTTTCTCATTCTGCTCCAACTTCTGTCTACCCCTGGCCCCATTTTTGTTTTTTACCACCTAGGTCCTCCAGTAGAGAGGTTAGAATAAGGGAACCAACTTTTCGCTGTGGTCTATTGTAGTAGGGTTCGGAACCCTCCCAACCAAACAAGGAAGGGTGAGAAAGGTTGCACCAATCGCTGGGGGACCAATCGCCGATCAAAGCGGGTAGTTGACTGCCTCCAAAGAACCACCTAGGTGTCCTTTTAGGGCAAATAGATGGCCCTGGTAACTTGGTTGACGTTGGCAGGGGAGCAACAAATTAAATTTTAGCTGTTAAGTGAAGATTTCCCACTAAACCAGCCTGGATCGCGACAAATCGACAGCTTCCAGGGAAAATAAATGGCCATGCTAGATGAGAAAACCACCAGGTAAACCACGGAAACCCATTTATTTAACCAAAAAGGACACCTATGACCACCCTGTGTGTGTTGAAATCCACTTTGGGATGAGCACTCCAAGCGACCCTTTGCTGGGTAGGTCGCTTGCGAGAACTCGCCCGTACTCCAGACCCCTATTTGAGGGAAGCCCCTCTCATGTCCCTCAAAAACGGGGCAACTGCAACACGGTGGTTCCTGTGGGAATCATGTTCTCGATGGAGTTTACACCCCTTGCACTCTGGCAATGTCAAGATCACGGAGACCAATGTGCGGGAACATTCACGGTGCCCTTGTATATAGATAAACTGGAAATGCACGAACGGTATCTGCCGGGGCACTTCTCGACTGTCGGCAAGCAATCTGGCATGGCTTCGCCTTCATCTCTGGCTGCGTAATACAAGTCCTGACGGCTGAATGCCATGCGTTGGAGGGCGGCGCCAACTGAATCAAATTCACTTAAATAACTGCGAGCGGTTGCCATCAATCAACACATTTATTGGCATGAGTGGTTGTTGACGATCAGTTTTGGTTGACAATTGTTTGTGCACTATGTGCACTGGTTCCGCTCGTTCCGACTAACCAGTGTTCGTGACGAGTGGTGAGTGCATCGACGCCGATGGCTCCCGCTTCGAAAACTGCAATGCCAACTCTACGGAAAATCCCATCGCTATGCACAACCCCCCCCCAAAAAAAAAGAATAGTTACACCAGCATAGACCCCATATAGCAGTACTTGCACACCAGCACCTCCAAAAGCACCCCCCCCTGAAGAACGCCCCAAGCAAAACCCGGCCGTCAATCGAGCAAAAACCCCAAACAGCACCCCCCAGGACACCCAGCCGTCAATCTTGCGAAAATCAGCCAGCACCCCAAACAGAATCCCAAACCACCACCTAAGCTGCATGCCCCCTTGCACCCTACCGTCAAGATGAAAACATGCGCCTGCACAGTCACCTGAGCACCCGAGCGTCAATATCGCAAACATACGCCCGCACCGTCACCAGCACCTCAAACGGCTCCCACAAACTGCGTCCCACAGCACCATCAGCACCAGCACCCCAAACTGCATTCCCCCCCCTGTGTCCCACTGTCAAGATGCGAACATGCGCACGCACCGTCACCCCCGAAAACAGCACCTGCACAAGCACGCCCCCTAGCACCCTACCGTCGATCTTGAAAAGATGCGCCCGCAGTGCCATCAGCACCTCAAACAGCACCCCAATCAGCACCTACACCAGCACCGCAAACTGCATCAATCTCGCAAATCACTTTCCCCTCTTTAGTCGAAGTTAGAACCCCTATAGCTTTCAGCTATCTGGGGAAAAAAACACACACACACAACCCAGGAACCGATGTTCAGTTCACAATCTATGAGCATGTCTTTTCAGCATCATCTAAAAAGGATGTGGCGCAAAACTCTAAACAAGTCGGAAAACCGGATCCAATGAACCCACTCCTGCAGTTCTGTGGCCAGCACCTCGTCCTCAAGGACGTTGGCCAGAACTGTGAGCTGAAACACGTCCACCTCCTCACAGTGGACAGGGTGCTGTGGATCAACTCAGATTCAGTCACGAAACCATGGCAACACGAAGAGGTGAAACGATTAACGACACCACCTACCAAAAATACAATCATGCACTACGAGACTGTGATATATGTATATATATATATATCAACAAGCCATGAATTTACAGGGACAAACTTGGACATGTTGAATGTTGTCGAAGAATTGCTGCAATGCTCCAAGATTCAAAGCCATGCCTCGAGCAAGGCAGGCACCCACACCTGTGACATGCCACTTCGTGATCTGTTGAATGCATAGCAGTACTTGACCACTCGCCTAGAGCCTCGTCAAATTTTGCAAGATGCCTTCCCAAGCTAAAACCCTGAGCCGGATTTGTCACTGCGAACTAGGCGTTACCGGATTTAAGAGGTAACTATCCTCCGGAAGCTCTTGCTTTTCTGTTCTCGTGTGATTCAAATTCACTGGACTTTTAGCCCATAAAGCCACCGCACGACTCTGATGGAAGACCGCGGAACAAACTCACCGTTCAAGCACCAATGTCAGTACGGTAGTCAACCATCACACGCTTGGCCTCAACAAACATCAAGGTTTGCAGCCTGAAGAAATGACTAAAAGCAGTTAACAAAACGGCAAACCGTCGAGTCTAGTTTCTGATAGATTCACCATGCATGAAGGGTAGGTACTTTTTCTACCTAACGTGTGGGAGTGATTAGATTAGTACCCCCCCCTAAATTGCAGGGTCAATAGGGAAAAACTTAAAAAAACTAATTGAGGGGGGTCAGATTTGGGCCTATTCAAGTAGTGTCTCAGTAAGTGCTGCTGAGTACTGGTACGGCATAGTATTCCGTTGAGCTGGCCCAGTACTGTTTAGAATTAGCATTTGTGTACTTTTCCTCTGTGCTGGTTCAATAGTCTTTGGGATTAGTTTAGGAATTGTTTCGGTTTTGTTGGTACCGACCCAGTGACTTCTCTTTTCCTCCCTTAAACGTTTGTTATTGTTAACTTTTCGGGGCTTCACTTTGCTGTTTTAGTACAGGATGTCGAAATAATTTGGATGCTTGCGGCCTCAGTTGGTTTTGCTGGCTCAATTGGATTGGCTTAGTAGTGATTGGTTTAGTATTGGGTTAGTACACCAGCAACCCCCGACTACCTTTTTCACTTATGATGCGCGACTACCGTTGGCCGGCAAAAAACAAAGGGCAGTAGTTGGCCACAACTACCGTTGTTTCCAACACGAGCTTACCCCTACCCCCAAACCCCCGACATGCAGGTGACATGAGGTGAGTCACAAGTGACACGCAGGTCACGCGCGGGTGACGCACAGTGACACGCAGGTCACGAACTGCCCTTGTTTGCAGCGATCTACCGTTGTTCTGACATACTAACATACACCTAACACGCAAGTGACATCCCCCCCCGCAAAAAAAAAGGTAGCTCCTTGGCTCCCTCTGTAAAGAAACATTTAACTCCCAGCTCTTTAGCTCCCTTACCGCCAGCTGGTTCAGATGGTTCCTAATCGAGTGACCTCCACTTCCTTTTTCGTCCCCTGGAAAAGATTAAAAACATCCAGACGTGATAGATTCCCTTTAAAACCAACAAGGGAAAATGAAAAAACACATATTCTTAACCAAATAGAAGGTGAAGGCTCCGAATTGACGCGGCCAAGGCGCATGGCCGGAGGTGGATCTGCCAGCATCCACCACCTCCAGCAAGCAGCTCCTCGCCTCAGGCTGCTCCGCCACGCCCACTCCTCGCAAGTAGAAGCTGAGGCGAACGATGGCCGCTGGGGAGGGAGGGAGGGCAGGGGGAGTCCAAATAACTTAAGGCCATCTCAACGCGTGAACCTCGGTGTGCCTTCGATTGAACTGTGCCAAATCCGCTCCATGCAAAACCTTTACATCATAGAGGGGGCCATTGAAGATCGCCTTCGATGTTCTCCATACAGACCCAGAGCTACCACGCACATTTTGGGGTCGATTGGCCAGGAACATCTCATCTATCCTGTTGAGTGCTATGCAACAAGACATCATTAGCGTGGACAAACTTGTGACCAGCGCCACGACAAGCTGATTCCTGCTGACATAGAGGTCAGGCTGGGTGCAGGTAATCATGGGATATATACCTGCATCTTCCCCAGTGTGGTGTTTTTTGGCCCCTTAGAAAAGAAACAGGTTCTTTCTTGGAGGGCGGTTTTTCAGGCCAGGGGCGGAAATTGCACTTTGCCCGCTCTGGCAGCATTTGGGCACAGAAAGCGTGCCTCTGAGTGTGGCATAAACCGACCTGGGCACATCCCGCATTTGAGGCGCGCCCTCCCGCGCCAATCGCATCAGTTGAGGTGCAAAACAGGCGTCGCCTGCGACCTGGAGCCGCTTTTCTCGAATGTTCTTTTTGGCCCGCAGAAAATGGACTTTTGGAATTGCAGCCATGACGTGGTGAACATAGCGAAGGCTGAAGGCTCAACCGGGAATATTGAAGGATCTTTGTGTTGGTTGCCCTTCTGGGAGACCTCCCAGCGGTTGCTTTTTTGGGCATGTGACTTCAAAGGACTGCGCAGGACAGGCAAGGTTCACTCATGCCCCAAAAACGGTTTGGCCCACTGCTTTGTATGCGGCGGCCGTGTCAACAACGAGCAGATCAGGGATATTGCCACAAACCATCGAAAGCAAGAGCTGATCAAATCGCTGCACCTTTACCTAAGCGACAGTGGTGCTTGAAACAGCAAGGGCCTCAACTTCTGATTATCGAAACGCCTTGCGGCCAAAGCCTTCAATGCTGTTAGCTAGGGTTGAGTTCGCAATGCTCACCTTGGATCCGAGACCAGGCCCAAGCTCGAACCGATTGCTTCGGAGCCTTTTCCCGAGCTAGGCAAATCTGAAGCTGGCCTGCTGCCACCGGCAGCAGGGATTGCTCTGACCCGGGCATGGACAGTAGAAAACGCACCGCTGCTGTGGCTTTGGCGCCCGTGCGAAAGTTTGAGACATTCCTCGGCATGAACCTCCGAGCTCACTAACATGGAACCCCTGGATTTACGGAATGCCGCATCAAAGCCATTATACATTTTCCACAAGTTACGTGCTTGTACACGTCTGTCTGCCATGGAACCGAAAAGGCAATCAAGACAGCCAAAAGGAGTTCCTCTAAGAGTGTTTGGGGTCCGTGTTGCCCCTCTTTAGGTCGGGTTAGTTCAACTCAAATGTTAATCAGCTAGGATCGATTCGACTTTCTTACTTCATTTCATGAAACCTTGCCATGTGCATACGCGAGCTTCATAAAACCCTGAAATGTGCGCAGCGCATTTCATGAAATTTTGCAACTCTGCGACATTTCTTCGGTCTCAAGAGTTCGAGGTATTCAAGGTGGTACCCGGGCTGCCCTCGACAAGGGTCGGCGAGGAAAAGGTCATCGACAAAAGCGGCTCCATCTTTTCTTGAGCCCTGGCCGCGGAAGACCCGGCCGGCCAAAACCGCCCCGAGACCGGCAAAAACCGCCCCGACACTGGCCAAACGCGCCCCGGGACTGTGAAACTGTCTTGACTGTGAAAGAGCGTTTCATGAATTGAGGGCACAGGGCTGCTTTATGAACCCTGCCACATTCATGAGTCCACAGTTCAAGAGTCGATCCACGGACCAAGCTTCATGAGTTTTTGCGGATTGGATTCATGAAATGACGCTTTCCAGGCCGGAATTGTCAAAATCTCCGGGGCGGTTTTGGCCGGTCCCGGGGCGGTTTTTGCTGGTCCCGGGGCGGTTTTGGCCGGCCGGGTCTTTCGGGGCCAGGGCTCAAGAAAAGATGGAGCCGCGTTTGTCGATGACCTTTTCCTCGCCGACCCTTGTCGAGGGCAGCCCGGTTACCACCTTGAACACCTCGAACTAGAAGACCGAAGAAGTGTCGCAGAGTTGCAAAATTTCATGAAATGCGCTGCGCACATTTCAGGGTTTTATGAAGCTCGCGTATGCACATGGCAAGGTTTCATGAAATGAAGTAAGAAAGTCGAATCGATCCTAGCTGATTAACATTTGAGTTGAACTAACCCGACCTAAAGAGGGGCAACACGGACCCCAAACACTCTTAGAGGAACTCCTTTTGGCTGTCTTGATTGCCTTTTCGGTTCCATGGCAGACAGACGTGTACAAGCACGTAACTTGTGGAAAATGTATAATGGCTTTGATGCGGCATTCCGTAAATCCAGGGGTTCCATGTTAGTGAGCTCGGAGGTTCATGCCGAGGAATGTCTCAAACTTTCGCACGGGCGCCAAAGCCACAGCAGCGGTGCGTTTTCTACTGTCCATGCCCGGGTCAGAGCAATCCCTGCTGCCGGTGGCAGCAGGCCAGCTTCAGATTTGCCTAGCTCGGGAAAAGGCTCCGAAGCAATCGGTTCGAGCTTGGGCCTGGTCTCGGATCCAAGGTGAGCATTGCGAACTCAACCCTAGCTAACAGCATTGAAGGCTTTGGCCGCAAGGCGTTTCGATAATCAGAAGTTGAGGCCCTTGCTGTTTCAAGCACCACTGTCGCTTAGGTAAAGGTGCAGCGATTTGATCAGCTCTTGCTTTCGATGGTTTGTGGCAATATCCCTGATCTGCTCGTTGTTGACACGGCCGCCGCATACAAAGCAGTGGGCCAAACCGTTTTTGGGGCATGAGTGAACCTTGCCTGTCCTGCGCAGTCCTTTGAAGTCACATGCCCAAAAAAGCAACCGCTGGGAGGTCTCCCAGAAGGGCAACCAACACAAAGATCCTTCAATATTCCCGGTTGAGCCTTCAGCCTTCGCTATGTTCACCACGTCATGGCTGCAATTCCAAAAGTCCATTTTCTGCGGGCCAAAAAGAACATTCGAGAAAAGCGGCTCCAGGTCGCAGGCGACGCCTGTTTTGCACCTCAACTGATGCGATTGGCGCGGGAGGGCGCGCCTCAAATGCGGGATGTGCCCAGGTCGGTTTATGCCACACTCAGAGGCACGCTTTCTGTGCCCAAATGCTGCCAGAGCGGGCAAAGTGCAATTTCCGCCCCTGGCCTGAAAAACCGCCCCTCCAAGAAAGAACCTGTTTTTTTCTAAGGGCAAAAAAACACACTGGTGAAGACGCAGGTAATGACCTTTGAAATCTTTACAGGGGGACTCTGTTGTTTAAATACGGTTCGTGTTGGGCTCAACTTAGCTCATTTGTAACCATGATGTCCGCTGTGCGCGGCTGCATAAGAGAGCTCGACGGGTCGGAGCCGAACGCAAGGGGCGCTTTTTTTTGTCCGGGGCTGTTTTTATATTTTGGGGTCAAAAACTTCGAGCCCTAAGCCCCGGGGCGAAAATTCGGCGCCCCCATGCGCCCCCGGAAGATCTAGGTATATATATATATATATATCTATACGTTTCCACCTACTGGGCTCGTAAACCATCATCCTCATGACTCACACTGTTGATCCACCGAAGCGAGGTCATGATGGACCTCGCAAAGGGTGCCTTCCCACCTGTGGACACTCCAGGCCAAATCTCCTGCCGCCTGTAAGATCGAAACTCTGCTGCAATGCACTACTTAAAGAAAGGGGGAACTCGAGTGCAAAGCAAGCGGCTAGTAAGCCTGGTGAAACAACCACCCACAGAACGGAGCCATTTTTACCATGGCTGCGGGATATTGTAGGATATAACCAAGCGTGCTAATCATTTACTAGGTACCCCATGTTGGATATTGTGGGATATAACCCGGCGTGCTCATCACCTAGGTACCCCATCGCCGCTTTCACTAGGCCCACGAATCGTGACTCGACGACCTGTCCTGCGAGCTCCCCCAGCTTTGTGAGGAAGGTGTCCTGCAGAGAAAGGCTCAGGAGAAAACACAGGTCTCCATCGGGCTCCTTATCTTACCCCTTAAAACTCCAAGCCCTGGGGAACTTAATCTGTGACAGACATATAGCCCATGTTGTTGTGTCTTTAAGAGGTAAGTTATCCAGCACCTCGCTGGGAAGGGCAAGGAAGCTTTATCCCTTGCACAGCTCTCAAGCTTTCCGATTCAAGTTTACCTCTTGTGCAAGTGACACTGCTGCGTGCCCCCCCGCCCATTTTGGCACATATGCTGCGAACTGGGTAGACTCCTGGTCCTTAGCCCATCTTAGCCCGTAGCCACAAGCTTACCCATCTCGTGTTTGCTGAAACAGCACCAGTGACCAAGCCGCCGCCAAAACCTCACTGAGCCGCAAATAGACCAGTCCTTCTCCTTCTTCTCGCGAGCCCCCGCCAGTTCCCGGAAGATCTTTTGTCGCCGCTCTGGCATGACCCTCACCAGCTCCTGCGTGAGACGGTCCACCATACCTCGGAAGGCGAAACAGAGTCCAACAGCTCTGTTACAGCTGTTCCTGCCGAGGAAGTCACTTCTCGAGTGGATTGGCCAGAAAATCGTATTCCCAGCAAGTAGAAAGTCCAGAAACTCAAAAAGTGCGACAATTCATTCCATTTCATTGAGTCGTCTGCCTTTGTCAGAGTTTTGTCATTTTGCAAGGGTGTCGTTTTTCGTGGAATCCTAACAAGTATAACAAGTCGATATCTCAGGAGGTAGGAACATGTCGGACCTTGAGCACATTTCGCGCCTCAAACATGAACAACTTGCAATCATTCACGAACCCAGACAGGAAAGCAGGCCTTCGTCATTGAGTCATGCATGCATACGACCCCCACGACAAAGTCTGTTCCCGCTTGTCGACTCCTTGTACTGGGGTGAATCTGTGCAGGTGAGAGACTCAGTTGTTCAGTGACCCTGAAAAAAAAGGGAACCCTTTTTGGGGAAGACCATTTTTCGTGGGGCAGCCAAAAACAAAAAAGGAAAAGGGTGCCACTGAACAACTGAGGAGATATCAACAAAGACATTGGTTTCAGCACACGACCCCTCGGTCCGGGCGGCCTTGCGCTGCCTCCCGGCTCACCGACCACAGATCATCGCTGGTGACGGCTGGAGGGCCTGGCCATGGTCGCAACAGCCGGTTGCTCGTCACCTCTTCGGCGGAAAACGGGAAGCCCGTTCCGCGCGGCTGCTGCTGACCTCCCTACAAAAAGTTTTTAACTTGGGGGCATTTTTCCCACATAAAAACCACCAGTTGGGGTGAATTCGGTCGTGTGAGGTCGCTATAATTCACCCAGTGCGACATCGGCTCGAAATTTGTTGCGCGACGGAGGGGGCCCTCTTGAAGGAGACTCGAAGCCGGGCGCAAAGAACGCCGCTTGACGCCGGCGTTTCAATTTGGCTGTGGGTCTGTGCCCCAAGTGGAACCTTAGCAAGTGGAACCAAAGACTAAAATCTGCGGTCCCCTACTAAATTAATTTTGACCCACACCAATTTGTTTGGAAACTCTGGCAGCATTCTGGCTTGCGAGAAGCCAACTTCGGCCAAGCGGGTTTGTCAGGCCAATCAGCATGGATGGAACGCGCTAAGGCTTGCTGTTGAAAATGAACGCGGATTCTTGGAGGAAGGGGGCCCTTTGCAAGTGGAGCTACATACCATGTCGTCATCATCATCATCATCATCAGCATCTTCAGATCATCTTCATCACCCGCACAGCATGGTCGTCAGCTTCCGGAAGTTATGTACAGGTCCGCGTTTCATGCAACTCAGTTTGTGGCACAAAACGTAGATGCCCAGTGGCCATGGGAAAAAAGGGCATCTGTTTTTGGTTGGTTGACTTTGAAGGGAAACCCTTCCAAAAAAAAGAAGGAGAAAAAAGGGCACCACCGGGCAACAGAGTTAAAGTCCGAAAAAGAAAACCCAAAGGCAGTGAGGTTTCGCCCACAGATCTGCGCTCGCGCCTTCCACCTCAGGATTCGGGCTGGGGCTACTGGGGTTAGCGCTGCCAGCGGTGCCGGGCCGGCTGCTGCTGGCGGTGCCGGGCCTGCTGCCGCCGCCGGCAGGGCTGCCTGGGTCCTGAGAAAACCGCAGGCCTGAAGCAAGCACATTGAACCCTGTTTTGCTTCAACCGGAAGTAAAAGAAACCCCGGGGTCGAAGCCATTTTGGAGGGGTTCAATTAAAGGCGAGCCACCCAGGACAAAAAACACCCCCTGAAAACTCCAATCCTTGGGGACGCTTTCTCTTTTACAGCCATTTGGCCTAAGTCAGCCTCTAAAACAGCCCGAGTCGTTTCCGCAGGGTCTCAAATCCTGCTCCACATACAAACGGAGTCACCACGGCGAATTATCTCATCACTTGAAGGGGCTTCGCTACAGCATGGCAGGCATTCCGCTGCTGCGCAGATTTGTTCAACGCTCTTCCTGCCCCCGAGTATTTTTGTTACAAGAAGACCTAGAAATCGAGCATTGCAAAAGGGAAAGCCGCACGTCTGCCCCTTGGTGGATTTTGGACTTAAAACCCGGTTTGGAGTCAGCAGTCGTGGGTTTGGACTATATTTGATGCACTTCAGCCTATTCGAGCAAGGGACCTTGAAGCAAGTGAACAGATTCTGCCGGTACCTCGCTCACCTGGGGCTAAAACGAGCTCACCTATGCAGGCCCCTGGGAGTTCCTTGTTCCGCTTTAGGTTTCGAGGACATGAAGCTGCCTTACACAAATGTCTCCCTTTCCTTACCCAAAGGTGAGGAACATGAAGAACATCTTTAAACCAAGGGACTTTGAAGCAAATGAGCCTTAACATGAAGAACCCTTAAACCAAGGGGTGATGAACATGAAGAACATCTTTAAACCAAGGGACTTTGAAGCAACTGAGCCTTAACATGAAGAACCCTTAAACCAAGGGGTGATGAACATGAAGAACATCTTTAAACCAAGGGACTTTGAAGCAACTGAGCCTTAACATGAAGAACCCTTAAACCAAGGGGTGATGAACATGAAGAACATCTTTAAACCAAGGGACTTTGAAGCAACTGAGCCTTAACATGAAGAACCCTTAAACCAAGGGGTGATGAACATGAAGAACATCTTTAAACCAAGGGACTTTGAAGCAACTGAGCCTTAACATGAAGAACCCTTAAACCAAGGGGTGATGAACATGAAGGAACATCTTTAAACCAAGGGACTTTGAAGCAACTGAGCCAACATGAAGAACCCTTAAACCAAGGGGTGATGAACATGAAGAACATCTTTAACCCAAGGGACTTTGAAGCAACTGAGCCTTAACATGAAGAACCCTTAAACCAAGGGGTGATGAACATGAAGAACATCTTTAAACCAAGGGACTTTGAAGCAACTGAGCCTTAACATGAAGAACCCTTAAACCAAGGGGTGATGAACATGAAGAACATCTTTAAACCAAGGGACTTTGAAGCAACTGAGCCTTAACATGAAGAACCCTTAAACCAAGGGGTGATGAACATGAAGAACATCTTTAAACCAAGGGACTTTGAAGCAACTGAGCCTTAACATGAATAACCCTTAAACCAAGGGGTGATGAACATGAAGAACATCTTTAAACCAAGGGACTTTGAAGCAACTGAGCCTTAACATGAAGAACCCTTAAACCAAGGGGTGATGAACATGAAGAACATCTTTAAACCAAGGGACTTTGAAGCAACTGAGCCTTAACATGAAGAACCCTTAAACCAAGGGGTGATGAACATGAAGAACATCTTTAAACCAGGACTTTGAAACAACTGAGCATAACATGAAGAACCCTTAAACCAAGGGGTGATGAACATGAAGACATCTTTAAACCAAGGGACTTTGAAGTAACTGAGCCTTAACATGAAGAACCCTTAAACCAAGGGGTGATGGTTATGAGAACATCTTTAAACCAAAGGACCTTGGAAGCAACTGAGCCTTAACATGGCTCCTTAAACCAAGGGTGATGAACATGAGCATCTTTAAACCAAGGGACTTTGAAGCAACTGAGCCTTAACATGAAGAACCCTTAAACCAAGGGGTGATGAACATGAAGAACATCTTTAAACCAAGGGACTTTGAAGCAACTGAGCCTTAACATGAAGAGCCCTTAAACCAAGGGGTGATGAACATGAAGAACATCTTTAAACCAAGGGACTTTGAAGCAACTGAGCCTTAACATGAAGAACCCTTAAACCAAGGGGTGATGAACATGAAGAACATCTTTAAACCAAGGGACTTTGAAGCAACTGAGCCTTAACAGGAAGAACCCTTAAACCAAGGGGTGATGAACATGAAGAACATCTTTAAACCAAGGGACTTTGAAGCAACTGAGCAGCAGAACCCTTAAACCAAGGGGTGATGAACATGAAGAACATCTTTAAACCAAGGGACTTTGAAGCAACTGAGCCTTAGCATGAAGAACCCTTAAACCAA